ACAAAAAAAAAAAAAAAAAAAAAATAGCCGGGCATGGTGGCACGCACCTGTAGATTCAGCTACCTGGAAGGCAGAGGCAGAAGGAATGCCTGAGCCCAAAAGGTTGAGGCTTCAGTGGCTGTGAGCATGCCACTGTACTCCAGCCCGGGTGACAGAGTGAGACTCCAACTCTGCTGAAAAAATGGTAATGATTCATGAGCACTTAGGATGTACCAGAGTTAGTGCAAAGTTCTTTTTTTTTTTTTTTTTTTTTTTTTTTTGAGTCGGAGTCTCACTCTGTGGCCCAGGCTAGAGTGCAGTGGCATGTTCACGGCCACCACAGCCTCGACCTGCTGGGCTCAGGCGATCCTCTTGCCATAGCCTTCCAAGTAGCTGGAACTATAGGCCTGTGCCACCATGCCCAGTTGATTTTTTTCATTTATTGTAGAGACAGAGTCTCATCAAGTTGCCCACACTAGTTAGTCTTCAACCCCTGAACTCAGGCAGTTCTCTCTCCACTGCCTCCCAAATTGCTGAGATTACGCCTGGCGCCAAATTCTTTAAATGGATTTGACATTTAATTTCCCTAACAAACTTGTCCTCTCTGCAAATAAAGACCTATATGTTTCTTTGCTTTTGTATGCTTAGAGTGAATGGGTAAATGAGATAACCTCCTGGACCCTGAAGCAGGAGAGTCAGTAGGAACTGGGGAGACAGGTTACAAGAAGGCTGAGAAGCATTTCCTTTCACTATATTCTTTTTTGTATTTTAGTGTTTGAGCCATATAAATTTAGGTAAATAGATGGATAGATCACATGCACGCTAAAAAGTAACACAGCTAGTAGGAGCAGTGCTGGGCTTCTAAGCTTTACAGACTCATTTGTTTTCTCTGTATACTATCCAAAGGAGTGAAAAAAAGTAGATCTACTTAACAGCTGTATATTTCTTTTTTGTAAAGTGATTGTTTGGCCTGAAGGTTTATATTCCAGTCTACTGGTTATTATACCACCTCTCCCACTTTTTTTTTTTTTTTGAGTTGGAGTCTCACTCTGTCGCCCAGACTGGAGTGCAGTGGCACACTCATGAGCCACCCCAGTGTCTAACTGCTGGGTTCCAGCGATCCTTCCGCCTCAGCCTTCCAAGTAGCTGGAATTACAGGCGCGCGCTACCAAGCCCGGCTAATTTTTGATTCATTGTAGAGATGAGGTCTCGCCAAGTTGCGCAGGTGGGTCTCGAACCTGCGGGCTCAGGCAATCCGCTCACCTCAGCCTCCCAAGGTGCGGAATTACAGGCTGAGCCACCGAGCCCGGCTTTTTTTTTTTTTTGAGTTGAAGTCTCACTCTGTTGCCCAGGCTGGAGTGCAGTGGCACACTCAAGAGCCACCCCAGCGTCGAACTGCTGGGCTCCAGCGATCCTTCCGCCTCAGCCTTCTAAGTAGCTGAACTACAGGTGTATGCTACCACGCCTGGTTAATTTTTTTGATTTATTGTA